GGAAGGCTATCAGTAATGCTTGAACGGAAACGGTTTCAGTCTCAGTTGATTTAAGAGGCGATAGCTGAATTTCGCCACAAAAATCAGATTAGTGGGCTTTACCATCCGGTTTCGAATCCCATTATGGGGTGGCGATGACCGATTTTAGTGACGACGCCGAAACGGAAGTCCAGTACAGCCGCGATGAGGTGGCCTTTTGGGAGGCGATGCCAAAGGAAATACAGGCTTGTCACTGATAAGTTGCATCTTCGTGCTAGGCAGCGATGTTGTCTAAGAATGCACCAAGACATCATTTCTACACACGACTAGACTGCCTTTTTTCAAGACCAACTTGTGAAAAACAGATCAACCCAAAATGATAGAGCTAAAGGAGACTGCTAGCGAACCTATAGCCATAGCATTTGGGTCTTTATATCTACGAAAGAATAATGTTCCTAGAATTTAATAGTAATTCGCTTCTGGTATAAAGTTAAGGATAAATTGAAGTTGTTTGACCTTGTTTTCGCAACTCGGTCATATTGGTAGGAAGACTAAGTGGAACGCACCTCGTCCGGCGTCCATAGTGTGCATCATTATTTCCAGAGTATGACTGTGGACGTGGTACATTTCCAGACGTGTCGCCGGCATCGTCAGTGAGTCTCGCCATTCGTAGTACCATATTACAACTCGTCAGAGTAATATGCTTGTAATATGGTGCTACGAATGGCGAGACTCACTGATGATGCCAGCGACACGTCTGGAAATGTACCAAGTCCACGGTCCTACTCTGGAAATGATGATGCATACAATGGACTCCGGACTAGGAGCGTTTCTCTAAGTCTTCCTACCAAAATGACCGAGTTGAGAAAACAAGGTCAAATAACTTCTACACAACGAAAGGAGACTACGACCACACAAAAAGCCACACCATATTGGTCTTCATACCTTCGATTAAGGATAAATTATTTGGAAATTAATACTCTTCACGACTAATACTCAGTCCTATGTCGTACATTTCAGATGAAACGCGGAATGATCAAAAGTAAGCTGTAAACTTAAAGAAAATCGAGATTTGGAAGCAAATAAGCTATTCTACCTGATTCCAGGAATCTTGGGAATCGCGAACATCTGGGAAGGTACCAAGTCAACGGTCTGACGCTGGAAATCATCAAGAATACTCAGGCAGATGACGCAGACTTATTTATGTTTCACGAGGTCTCTCTGTTACTCCGACCTAGTTGTGGAAACGAGGTGAAGCCAACATTAAGGGAAACTCATTTCAATTCAACTTGAATGAGCATACTCAGCCATCAATCCTTAACTCACGATTCTAGCTGACTAAGTGCCTACTCGAAAATTGGATATCGAGATTCAGGCTCGGTATTTCGGGGTTTATGACTCGAGTTCCTTTATGGGCTCCAAAAACCAGGCTCTTAGGTCGGGAATCCACGATCTGAATCCACAAAACTGAACTCTGCAAACCGGGCTTCTTGGTTTGAGTTTCGAGGACCGAGATTGACAAACAAATATCCGAAATACCAGCTTCAACAGCCCGTGCTCCTTGATTCTTGCACGAATCAATCAGTTTCAATCTGCATTCACCCTAAGAGGCTCGAGGGGACGAAGGATTGATGGTGGACTTGCTCCCAAAATTTTGATATTTGGCCTCGGGATGCCACTAAACTTCACATAACCTTGCTTTCCAAAAGGCATTCTCATCTCGGCTGACCTCGACTGCAGATTCAACCTTACCTGGTCCTCCTCAACACTCCCGTTGGGAATCGAGCCCAGGCGGTGGAGCTCCACAGTTACCAGTGGACCACAGGCCAAGGTTGACTTCAAAGGCAGATCAAGCGTCACCTATATCACATTTTCTAGTGGGATCATCAATTAAGCAAGCCTACCTTTGCCATTACAATTGTCACATTACTTATATTTTTAATAAATATATTTTGAGCAAGACCCTAAATTGTTTAAGATAATGATAATTATTTGACATAGTAGTCCCGAAAATCCACCCTTTACGAATGCGAGTTGCTTAGTCGACTGTAATGGGAAATATATATGTTTGCTTCCGCGACAACCCCATTAGAGAATGTGAAAGGGAGATGTTAGCCTGTCTTTCTGCTCTGTGACCGACCCGACCTCAAAACGTGTCGAAGTTGTACGCTTCGTTGCCTAGGTTCGATTCCCGTTTAGGGTGCGGATGAGACCCGGAAAAATCGAAACTGAAATCAACCATTTCTATGAAGAATAGCTAAGATAAAATCAATAGTTTTCTGAGGTCTACTCATCTTAATGGTAGGAAAATTCACTATCAGTCCTCATCACCTATAGCGATCCAGGGTATCCGAGCTCTTATTCAAGATGATCGTATCCATTGACGGTCTCGGAGACCCATTCATTGGGAAAATAGTTAAGTTTACCCATGTTCCTATAGAGTCTTTGATGTTCCTTGATTCGTAGACCGATTATTCTTCCTGTTTCACCAATATACTTATGCTCATAGTTGCCGCATTTGATGCGATAAACTCCTGCGCAATCAAGTTTGTCCATCTTCTCGTGTTGTGTCAGTAAACTGGTGAAAAGTGTTTTCTTCTCCTTTTTTATCACCCTGATGTTCCATTTTCTTATTAACGGTCGCAAGTGTTGGCTCAGTTCTGATGAAGGCAGGCAAATCCACTTCTGGTCGCTCTCCTGATTCCTGATCTGATTTTCATAAAATCCAAGTTGAAATC